GTCTCCTCCGGTTACAACAGGTCACTGCCCTCAGGTAACCTCTTCCATTTTTGGTCACTGTCTCTGTACCTCGTTCTACCCCTTGGTGTTAAAGAGCAATTCTAATCACATTGCAGCCCTTCAGATATTCGAAGAGCTTTATCTTGGCACCTTCTTCCACCCCTCCACCCATATTTTCTTTAGCCTAAACATCTCCACTTCTTCCACCCATTTTTTGTGATTTCACGTCACAGTGCTTACACGTCTCTGAATATTCTAGTTTCTGAATCCTTGTTAAACATGGCATCACAGATGTGGTCTGATCAGCCACACAAGAGCAGGGTTGTTGCCTCTGGTTTCATACCTGTCTCCCTTGCTGCCCTTAGTCCTGTCATTCCCTCTTGGACCTGCCAGATTAATCATCCTTAACTGTTTTATTCACGTGCTCACAGAAACTGCCCTTCCACATCACATTTTAGCCACTTTTACTTGCTTTTCATGGTTTGCTACTCTGGTGCCATTTTCCATCCCACTTACCTTCAACATACGCCCTCTGTTTTAGACTGGCTGAGCTAACCTTACTGATCCAAACCAACCTACAGGCCATCCTGCGTTCATACCTTCCCCCATGCTTTCCCTTTTATCCCCCCTTTTGCCTTCCCAACTACTCTTCACGACTCAACTCCCTTCTTTTCCAGGAGGCCTTCCTCATGGCTTAAACTCTGTCTTAAATGCTTACACTAGGATGTCTTTACACTATTAGGACCCATCATCTTCTCGGGAATAGTCTCGTACATTGTTACATTTATTTCTAGCTACGTTTTAGTTTTTGTTGCTGTTGTGAGTGGCATCCTTTTTAAAATTCCATTTTCAAATTAGTTGTTGCTGGTGTGTAGAAATGCTAATGATTTTGGTATACTGAGTTTGTATCCAACAATCCTGCCTATGTCTGAGCTCCAGTGGTTGGTTTGTAGATACACTTGGGAGTGAATCAGTGAAGGCAGTACCACGAAGGGGGTTGTATCTCCA